AGGTGAATGGCCCCTCCCCAGAGGAAACAAAAGAGGAGCGAAAGGGGAGGGGGCTTTTGCAGGAAACAATTCGCTCATTCGGTCATTAGATTCGTTTCAGGAGTGTGAAGATCTGTCCGTGAATCTCAGAGACTCTGTGCCCAGCCTTTCCTTGCACAGCACCTCAGTTGGGAAAATATTTACAGGGCAGCCTTCCACGATAGATAAGGTCTGTGGTCCTAAATATTCCTTTGAAAGACTGTTTTGAAAAGATTTTTTTCCCCCCTTTTGTGACAGCTTGGAGAGCGAGCTGGAGAATCTGAGCAACGCCTTAACGAAAGCCACGCTGGAATCTTCCACCAAAGCATCATCTCCCTCAGCTGGTAACTAGTCCCTGCTGTTTCCTTGACCAGGTTCTACCGAAGCAATGTGCCATTTCCGCCTTCCTACGGCTGAGAGAAAACGGCTGGCTCTCTAGCAGTAGCACTTAAGCCTTGTATACCGCTTTCCAGTGCTTTCCAGCCCTCTCTGAGCATTTTACAGCGTCAGCCTGTAAAAAAGAGTTGGCATCGCCTCTTGCCCCCAACAGCCTGGGTCCTCATTTTACCCTCTAGGAAGGATGGAAGGCCTGAATGAAGGTCATTGGCTGGCCTTGTGTGCCTAAGGCAGGACTGGAACTCACAGCCTCCCGGTTTTTTCACCTGGCGCTTTAACCAGCGACACCAAGCTGTCTCTTCATAGCATGTAGTCCACCACACAGTGGTTTCTAAAAAGATATCAATTTGGAAAGTAAATAAACAAACCTTCGATCGTAGTCCTCCACTTACGACAGTTCATTTATTGACCTGTTTGAAGTCACACTGAATGACGAACTGAAGAAGAGCCATAAAACTCTGTTCTTTTGTTCCCTGGTTCTCACAGCTAAGTTGTCCGTTGTGAAGCAGTCTCAGCTGAGGAATTTCTTGTCTAAGAGAAAACTGCCCCCTGTCCGCTCGACAGCACCAGGTAAATAGATCGGCATCCCCGAAAATGTTTTCCCTTTCAGGGCAAAAACAAGTGACTTTTCTTTTCATCCACTCCCCTTTAGCAGCTGGATTTTTCTTGATGATCAGTGTAGTTCTTGCCTCTTTTTTTTTTTTTTTTTTAAATATATTTTAATATAAACAATCCATTAAACACTCATCTGGGTAGAAATATTTTGTACTCATGAACTAAATGGCGCTGGAAAAAAGTGACTTGAGGGGACCGTTTTTCACACTTGCGGACCGTTGCAGAATCCCCGGGATCACGTGATCGAAATTCGGACACAGGGCAACTGGCATGTGCTTATGGGTGGTTTCCTGGAACCATGCTTTTTTTTTTTTTTTCCAATTAGATTATAGAATAAAATACAAAAATACAGAAGCAGATGGGAAGACAGAGCAGGGAGGAAAAGGGAAAAGGGTTCCTGGGATCAGGTCACCCCTTTTTGCAACCTTCTGGCAAGCCAAGTCGATGGGGAAGCCAGATTCACTTCACCACCCTGTCACTCACTTAACAACTGCAGGGGCTCGCTTAACAACGGTGTCCGGAAAGATCATAGACTGGGGTGAAAATTGGTTTCACTTCTCGAGAAATTTGGAGGCTTAATTGTGGTTGTACCTCTATTAATAATTCTCCCCTCCCCTCCCCTCTGTTCTTTTTTTGCAGCCACTCTGTCCCAGTCAGCTTTCCTGTCTCTGAGATACGATGAAGACCTGGACGAGATCAGCTCTGCCTCTTCAGTCGCCCAGTCCTTGGAGAACGAGGAGACGGAAGGGGTGGATCAGGAGGAAGTGGAGGTGGTGGTACCAGTCCCAGCACCTCGCCACGCCCCAGTCGTCCGGACACCTTCAATCCAACCCGCCCTGTTGTCGCAGCCCCTGCATCTTGGCAAACCCCACGTCACAATGGGCACTTTGAGTGAGTCGATTGCGGCATTTAGAGAGCTTTCCGCGGGGGAGATTAGAGGTTAAGATCTGTTCTGACTTAGGCTTCCTGAACAAGCAAGAAGCGGAGTCTTGTTCCTGGCAAACCCCCTTTTATTTACACGACTGTGAATTCCTTTCATTCCCAGTCAGCAAGGCTTAGTAAAACAGTCTTTTCAAAGGAATGTTTATCCACACGAACCTT